GCGTCGTTGTACGGTGTGTCCGTCAATGTGAACACAAAAGTTACCCCATTCCCCACTTTTGTATTCCTAGTTTGAGAGCCTGAGTCGTACTCTTATGTACATATGTATGTATGTACATATATAAAATGAAAGGTGATTCCTGACTGTACATTAACGAGTGGGACGAAATGGCTATAATTAAGAGCACTGATACACCTCTTTTATATGTCCTGACCAATAAAAAGGTCAGCTAATTTTATCAAAGGTTAAGTTAAATGCCCTTTCGAATATACTTTATTCTGACGGCTCTCTACTCTGAAAAGAAATTAATGTATATTCGCCAACTCGAAGATTAATACCCTTAAAGTAAATAATACAGACTGTATTCTCTATATTATCTATTGTATACATGAATATTTATATACTTGAAATGTAGTTTAGTTTGAGCTTTACTAAAAATATGCTGAACCCATTTCATATATTTAAAAAACCTTGGATTTTTGCATACTAAGTCAATAGGCATTCAAATCTAAAGTTTTTTTTTACAATTCACATCTGTGTTTATTAACAGTAAGGGTGTCTGTGAGTCGCCTGCATTTTTCATGGAATTGCAGCATTTCAAAGATTTCAAGACCTCTCGACAAGAGTCGGGACTCGTTTACGTAAATATATTCATGTATATATGTATATAGAGGTATATATTGTAGAATATATACATATATGTATATTCTTATATGTCCGCAACTTGTTTATCCCCGACGGCTTTTTTTTACACATAAGAATAAATATATGCATGACTCTGTATGTACAGGGAAACCTAGAAGCATAACAAAAGTCGTGGCCCTGATAAATAAGACAGCAGCATCCCATAGCAATCATAAAAATGAACTATCATTGCAGTAGTTTTGTTTGCCCTACTAAAACATATACTTTTCTTAGGTTATTCAGTTAAAATAGCCCATCCCTTCTATACGTAAATATAGACAACTACTATAGTATATACCATAGCATACGTCTATATATATATATATATGAATACCACATGAATAAATTATATAACATGTATTTTTTATTTTTGACATGCTAATGAACATTAAACTTTAAATCTTAATTACATTTTAAGGCACATTCGCAACTCTTTATAAGATTTTTCCATAAAAGACCCGAAATCTCTTTAATATGCTTAACTTCCATAACAAAGGTTTTTTCTTTCTTAGAATAAAATATTTTGTTAATTTACTTTAATTTTTGTTAATGGTAGCCTAGGTATATCAAAAGCCCTGGCTTAAATAGTGGTAATTCAAAAGGATTCCGAAATTATGTTTTTAACAAATATAATTTTGTATATAATTTTAATGATTGACATTTTTTTTCTCTCTTGTTTTTGATTTGACTATATTAATATTATATTAAATGTGAAAATGGGAAAACAGGATATGAGTTACTGTTTTTATAAAATAATATAAATAGTTTTTAAAACATTCTAAACTCCACGATTTTTACCATTTTGTATTAAATGTATGACTCACATTTAATTCAAATAAGTTGTATACCATAAAAATCAATGTTTTCTTTCCATGCTATGTAACTCCACTTAATATAGGCTATCCAATTACTTGTTCGGTGTTTCCATGAGTAGTATTTGCATTATTAGTGTTGCATGATTCCGTTTCTTTTGTTTCTACAAGCAATTGATAGGGTATTTCGACATATGATTTTCCATCTCCACTGCTCTCTGTATCATCCAAATGTGAATCGGGAGTACTATAGACGCTGTCATTAATTGCAGAATCCTTCTTTTGGTTCCTAGAATTTTTTGTTTGTCGCTTTTTACCTGGCTCAAAGAATTTGGGATCCAAGATCAATGGCATTCTATGTCGACCATTGCGCATAACATGAATGTTGCCGTGTGGCACAGATTCAGTTCGTGCCGGAGATAATGAGCCATCAGTCATCGACATCATGCCAAAATGTCGCATCATAGCAATCGCCTCTTTCTCCACGGTGCTCTTATCATCCCAATCTGACATTGTCGCGTGCTCACCTAACGGCTTAGTGCCAGCTATGGCCTGAATACGCTCCATCATGGCTAGGCTGGCGCTTATTTCCTTCGATTTGACACTTCGATGTTTCTCAATCTGAGCATTTCGTTCTTCCCGTTTAGCTAAGTAATCGTAAGTTGACTTTGGACGGGGAATAAATTCTCGCTTGGCTTCATATGCTAGCTGTCCATGTATTAAATTGAAATCAGGCTGTAAATCGACCAAATCGTCCTCGAAGTTCGTTGATGGAGCCCAGGCCATATTTTATTTTCTAAATTTATATATTGATCGAATTGTTAGTAGGGGCCAAACGCTGCCGGTGCAAATGATGGTCTACGATTGTCATCTACCCCGTCAACATAACCTTGTTCTTTTTATTTCACATACAGAGCATACACAGTAGACATGTATATTATATTTGCATATTCTTGTATGTGTGTGTGTGTGTATGCGTATGCATGAGTTCAGTTGCATTGCCGGCCAAATTACAACTAGCTGCGTGTAACTCACCAGTAACAAGTCAGACGCCGACTTTCGACAAACCAATGTTAGTTCAATATAACACACTTATTTATCGTTTCTATTCTAATAAATGATTTAAAAGCCAATTCCTAGTTCCGAATTCTTATACAAATTTTAAAAAAGTTTCTTTGAATTCCATTTCCCACAATCTAGAGTTGTCAGCCTCTATATAACCACAACGCGTTTTGGTCTTATTTAGTTATTTAATAGAATAGACCAGATCAGAGAATAAAAAGAAATAAAACGAAATAGTATATAAGTTTATAGAGTTGCATAAATTAATAAAGTATTATTTATTATTAATGTATTCATTTTTTTTTTTCAAGCTATACAAATGCAAACGTTTTACCCCATAAAAAATGTACAACTCAAAAGAGGCACCATGTGTATATATTTATCTCGCTCTAACATCATGAATTACTATGCGCAATACAACAAAACGCCGAACAAATTGCGCCAAAACAGTCGAAAAGCGAAAAGAACACAGAAAAGAATGAAAGTTGATGGCTGCCGAAATGATCTTTAATACATGAAATTTACGTACATATATCTATGCTTAGAGCACCAGAAAATATTTAATTATCATCAATTAAATGCTCGACTCACCGTTTTAAAAATGCGGTTGCACAGCGGTGCGGCGCTTTTATTTGCACACCTTTTGTTTATGTTACACAAGATAATCTACACACCAAATCACAGACATTAACATTTGGACTACAATTTTTAAATATTGGTATTTAGGCACATTTTTAACGTATTGGTTTTAGGATAGATTAATAAAACGCCGCCGTCGCCTTTTGCACATTTGGCAAATTTAGCGATTAGTGTGACAGTGTGTGCAAACAGAAAAAGGCAAATGTTGGTCGAGTTTGAATGTGGAGGCTAATCGATTATTTTAAAAAATACTACAAATACTAAAAGGTATTGTGTATATTATAAATATCGATTCCGTATCTAATTTGGCGGCAAAAAGTGTATTATTCAAATATATTTGTTAAAAATGATTTTATTTTGCTACATTTTATTATCTGAGAATGGTACTATCACCGTTTATATTTTGAATATAGCGTATACGCTTTTTTCCAAATACGTAAAGTTGATGAAATTTTCACAGTTCAATGTCCTAATTGTCTTGCAAAAGCGGATGCAGCTAACATATTATATTATATAGTCCTAGAGCTAAAGTATTTTGGCCACACCTTTTTCTCTCCACCTTCGTCGTAGAAGCCTACTTCATCATATTTTGCAGGTTAACCCAATGATGACCTCCTTTCTTCAGTATTGTCGGTTACTCCTGCCTGTCTGCAATACTACACTCATGCGCATTGCAGCTGAAACAGCCGGTCATGTTTTTATTAATGAAAATTCCAAAAGTTTTCGCCTTCAAACTCAGTACAATCGCTTGGCTTCCCAGTAGCAATTCGACAACTGGTCAAGACGCATGGAAATTCGGAAATATGCGGCTAATTCGTAATAATAATTAACGTGTGAAACCAAAAACATCGAACAAGTATAATTAAGATGTGTTAACATTTGACCAAAAACGCAATAAAAACATATATATATTAATATATGTTTAAAAAAGTCCTGGAAATATTAAATTTGTTTTAAAATTGTGTTTATGCTATGAATTTAAGTTATTTATGAGGTTTAAAATTACAAAAAAGAAGATAAAACTATTATTGTTTTCTGCTTAAAAACCTATGAGTCCAACACGCCCTAATCTTCTTCAGCTGAAATTTCGTATGTCAATATAGGTATCAAAACGGCAGTAATAGATTTATAGGTCAATCTCCACCCAACTTTCTCACGCCCTTAAACGATACCCTATAAAAAACTTCTCTTTTGACTGCAGAACTTGATAGTGCACTTAGTTATACTGACTATGCATATAACGGAAGTATAACTATATATAAAAAGCTATTCGAATTTGATCGTGTGCTTTTATAAGGTGTAATCGACTCAGTAGAGACTGTGAAGTATTAGCAAAGTGCTAAAATATTGCAGCTTTTACTCAGATCAACTAAATAGAGAATAATATTGTGAATATTTTAAAATTGGAAATTTGAAAAATTTAATATTTTCCAAAAAATAAATAAACAAACAATTTTATTTCATGCGTACCAAGTTAAAAGAAAAACGTTGAAATATATTCTCAGTAAGATTGCGAACAAATTCCATAAACATTGCGTAAATTTAATTATTTATAGAAACAAAACGACGTGATTAAACAACGCAAACGGAAAATCGATCAAAATAATAATTTAAACAAATATATAAATATATATTTCTATGAAACTATTTGTGTGGCCTAAGCGATTCAACAACAAACCAAAGGCGTAAAGATTTCAATTGACTTTCTGATTAATTGGCAATTTCTTATATTTTTCTCAAAAACTGTATTTTTAATTGCAAATTTGGAAAGTTTTTGTTGAGTTGTTTGTATTGCCGATTGAAAAGTTGACGTGAATATTGCACTGGAGGTGATTCGACAGCAGACGCGCTCGATTGCCGCACTCAAGAGGAAATCTCAACTCAAGGTAAATGCAAAATTGGGAAAGAGCGAAGGCTCACAATGGATGATGATAGCCGAGCACCCTCTATATATATACTGCTTTGTTTGTTCTCTGTCTCTGTGAAGTGGGCTGGCCACTTGTGCCAGTTACTCAATTTTATGCAGTTTTCAAACCAAGTCAATGGGAAATTGCAAATTTGTGTGCTGCAAAGATATTGAGAAGAGCGTTTGAGTCAAACGAACAGCATAATGAACAAATTTTTGCTAAAAAGCAATCTACGATAATTATTATTATTATTTATTTATTAGATAATATAAAAAATATAAATCTAAAAATTATTAAACGTACTAGCTACGAGGGCCATCGACGTGAATGTTGGAAGTTAAATTGGATGAAAAATATTACAAAGATTTATAAACTTAACAATTAAATTAATATTTACAGATGTGGGTTCGGTAAGTAGTGTGGTAGGAGGTGTGTTGCCGAAGAGTCTTATCCTCTCTACGATAATTAAAAAAACCCTTTTTACTAAGAATTTGCAAGCTATACATTTTTAAAATTACATATAATTAAAGTTAATTGAGTCGTCTTTAATGCATGGTTACCTAACAGGTAACTAACACCAGCTAAAGTACAAGATTTTCACTTACAACCCTTGCCGTAGTAAAAACTCTTTGAGCAAAAAGGAAGAGGCACAAAATACAAAACAAAAGCACCCACGTAAAGAGCCACTGTCGGGTGGCCTTTAATAGACGGCGCTTCGGTCACAGTGAGTGCAGTGCCCTGAATTAAAATGCGCCCAAGGACAACAGCAACAACAACAGCAACAACAACAGCTGACATCAAGAAAATGCCAACAGCAACAAAGTTGCGACTAAACGCAGCAAAAAGTTGTTATTAATTGGAAGCCAACGTTGCGAATACATATGTAACTTTGCCAAATAAATAGGACATATTTACTTACATATATATTTGTTATTTTATATTGTATTATATATACATGTATATTCGTAATATATGTATGTATGTATATTCGCAACATGCCTTGTGCAATTTGCTTTGGTGCCGTTATAAGAAAAGCGTACTTTACCCAAGAGTTCGGCTAGTCTCTCGCGAATTTGAATGTAAAGTAAGGAGAGAAAAGTTGGCTTCGTATTCGCTATCTTGCTCTGTCAGAGAGCATATGAAGTGAGAGTTAGAAGTTTACTACGATCGAGAGTTGGCTTTGCCGATTTGTTAGGCTCACTACATACAATACATACATAGCATTTATGTTGCTTGCTCGCAATTACTGTCTCCCTTCTCAAATGTGTTTAATATATGTGTATGTATATACATATGTGTATTTGTATATTAATACATGTGGATACGCAGTAATTTCTTAATTCTCCCCGCTTCGCTGTCTTTCTTATGTTATTGGAATCGAGTAATTGAAAGTTTTGCAAATAAGTTTGACAATACATTTCCAGTGAAAGAGGATATTTTGTTAGATATTAGAACTTTGCTCGGTCTTTGACATGTCCTTCTCTGTTGTCTAGAGAGCCAAGTACTACGTGCCAAGGACGCGAGGGTGCGTATTCCACAAGCCCAAACATAAGCACAAGTAGATGCCGGCATCAAGGCAACAAGGACACTTGAGGGCCATGCGTGCCACTCGCGTGCTCTTCACTCGGTTTCTCCTTAACATCTTGTATGTATGTATGTGCAACAGTGTTAGCATCAGCATCTGTTGGGTTTGAGGGGAATATACTCCACAATTCATATTGCAATATTTGTGTATTGTATAAATGAATAATGATTTTCTATACTAAATTTCGGCAATGAATTGCTTCACTAAGCTGTATATATATTATAATCCTACTTACAGTTTTTTCTAATTTCTTAAAATACCATTAACCTCTGGGCTATGCTTACGCTTTAATCGTACTAACACACCAATCTATTCTGCTTCTTTTTTTTTTTTTGGTAGTTGTCGAAATGGAGCGATGTCAAAGCGGCAGAAGAAGGCGAAGGTAAGTAAAATACCTTAAAAATATAAACTTGAAAGGCTTACGCACCTAAATAATGCATAATAAATTATGTAGTATAAAAAAGCTAGTATTATCATTTCACGACTATAATTTGTTTAATTTATAAAAAATAGTATATAAAATAAAATAGTATATAAAAATAGTATATAAAATAATTAACAAATGCAAATTCGTAAAATACATATTTAAAAATAATTAACATAATCCAAATGATCATGCGTATAAACTATTATTTGAACAATTTCTTAAATGTATAAAAATAAACTACTACAATAGTGATTATTATTTAATTAACATTAGTAACTACCTATTGTTTACCATACGTCCAAGAAGAAGAGCACTTCACGTCCGCCCACCAGGATATTGAAAAACAGACTGAAGTGCCGCTGCAGCAGGCTCCCATTTATATAGGGCAACGCACTCTCATCCTCCTCGTAATCCCACTTCCACTCAAAGACAAACTTGACTCTCTGAGCATTTCCTTGAGTTAATGAATCGGCAGACAGCCAGCCAGGTACACAGGCAGAGAATCTGCCAAAGAGAGAGACATGTAGGGAGACACGTAGGCAGACAGAAAGAGTCACATATACATTTGCATTTTACATCTAATCAGCTGATCATCTTGATCAAAAACATATACTACTTTATATGAATAACCACGCCTCTTTCTAATTGCTGAATACATTCCAGCAATCAACAATATACCCTGAAATGCCCTTTTCGAATTCGCTAAACATTCCAAATTGAGCAAGGAAATCGAATAGGAAATGGGAATTGGCACAGTGTTGGTAGTGTAGCAACCGGGTCAAAATCTGTTAAGAGTTGCTGTGTTAAAGTGTTTGCGCACAGTTAGATTGTTTTTTAGGTCAATCAATAGCGTTTCAATGGTTTTGTGATTACTTTGTAGCCGCTAAGGTGCTGCATTTATATATTTGCATGTACACACATACATGTGTGTAGGTGTATGCTATGCACCTGTGTGTGTGTGTGCGTGTGTGTGTCGGAAACAGTTGACCAGTTTGTTGTTGTTTTGTAGCGTTGCGTGTTCAGGACCTACGACAACCAAAAGGCAAGGCACCTAGGTTAGGTTGGCTCCTGCGCAGTCTCATTTTTCAAACTCACACACAGACGCGCACACCGACACATGCACACACTAGCTATACTCGTGTGTCTGTGGCAAATCAATGAAGGTTCAACGTTCGCTGTTACCAGCTGCAAAAGTGAAGACAAGCTTGCTCGAAAGGATGGTTGCTAAACAAACCGAATTGGCTTATACACTTACTAAATATTTATCGAATATGATTTATAAAATATTTAATACAAAGCTGCATTTAAATTTTTTTAAATTAGTTTATTTAGAATACATTATTACCTTAAGTAAATATGTTAATACTATGTCGTGTTATATTAGACTTAAAAATTAAAAATAAATTAATAATAATAATAATAATAATAATAATAATAATAATAATAATAATAATAATAATAATAAATTGTAATCATATTTTAAAAGCATTCCTATATAAATTCTAACTAAATCAAAATTTTAATATTTATAAATTCTAATAATAAAAAATTAATCAAAATAGTTTTACAAATATTTAAATACATTGTATATTTTTTTAAATTTACAAACAAATTTATTAAAGCTTTTTGTACATATTCGTATGCTAAACGCTAAAATTGCAAAACCCTGTTCAACTGAAAGGGAAATATTGACGTAGGGCATAATACATGGCAAATTTGCGGACGCTATGTATGTACGCTGATGAAGGTCGTCAGTGCTCGTAGAATGTAGTTACAGTAAAGCCTACCTAAGCCAGAAAACATATAGAGCGAGCTGACGATATACATATGTATATGTATATTTACTAAGCAAAGAATTAATTGAGAGAGATAGTTTAATTTTAATTTGCATTAATATTAAACATTAATAATAATATTAATAAACAAAATTACATAGGTATATATATATATATATATAATTGGAATACAACATATATTTGTTATACAATTTTAACGCTATCCTTAAACATTTATATGCATTGGCAGGTGGTAAAATTGAATTATTTATGTTACATATATCATATATCATATGACTGTTATTTTGTTGTCTACACATAACCTGGTAAGCATGATGCATATATTCATGTAATGTTGAATGTTGCCGTTCTCAGCCCGGGCTCCTTTCAACAATTCATAAGCGGGCTCGCACACCCCAGCAGGAAGAGCTGTGCATGTGTGTGGACTCTGTATATTATAAGCATATGCAAAAAAACAAGCAAACAGCTATTGACCCAGATATTTTGACGTAGCACCGCGACCAACTGCATTTCCCTCTAGCTTATTTTGCATATAATATTACGCATACGCCCCGTATGTTTGTTATGATTGTTTGCTTTCATTTGCGTTTGCCATACATTATAATAATTACATTATTATATTGTTGTTGTTGTTCTTGTTGTAATTTGCCACTGATGCTGTTATCCCTTGACGCTAATGGCTTCCCAATTCGATTAAGCTATGAACCCCAAGTTAATAAAAATCTAATGGGATTTTGATTTTACACAAGGCCATCGACGCGACAGCTGCGGCCTTGCGACAGTCGCCGTGTTTGCTGGCAAGGCCATTTTGCAGTGGATTAAGCTTTTCTTAATGCAGACATCCTTGAGCAGCATAATTAGGGTAGACGCTGCCACCAGCAGGAGTTGTGGGCGACGAGAATATGGCTATAATGAGCTGATTTAATCGGGCGAAATCCTGAATTGCCGGCAACTTTTGTTGTTGACATGGACGAGTTCATAGAGATGCCCCTAAGACAGACAAACGCATAGAAAGATCAAAATGACTAGTGTAGATTTTTTCGTTAGTCTTACAATTATTTCTATTCTCCCTTACAGACGAAGGAAAAAAACTGCACTTCATAAGTCCGGCACGCCGGAAATCTGTGCTCGCTCCAATACTGAGTAAGATCAAGAATGGTGTGGATGGCACAGATGCTGGGGATAAGAGGTCGGCAGGCAGCGAGGGCAGCGGCAGCAGTCACATAGCCGTCCAAATTGAGCCAGCCAGGCGTGTGAAGGTAACTGAGCCAAGTTGCTCGAGTAAGAGTCCTTGACAGGCATCAAATCCCATTGCAGCGCCATAGCATACACGGCATGATGGAGGAGGAGAACACCATACGGCCGCATCAGGAGATACGCCAGCTAACGCTGGAGGAGAAGAAGTTCCTCTTGGCGGTGGAGCGGGGCGACATGGCGGGCACTCGACGCATGCTGCAGAAGGCACAGGACACCGATTACATCAATGTCAACTGTGTCGATCCCTTGGGCCGAACCGCCTTGCTGATGGCCATTGATAATGAGAATCTGGAGATGGTTGAGCTGCTCATTAACTACAATGTGGACACGAAGGATGCGCTCTTGCACTCCATTTCCGAGGAGTTTGTGGAGGCCGTGGAGGTGTTGCTGGACCACGAGAATGTTACCTTCCAGAATGAGGGCAATCATGTGTGTAGTAGCTCCATTCTCTCTCTCTGTCTCTCTCTCTCTCTCTCTCTCATAACGACACTCTCTATAATTTCGTCATAGAGCTGGGAGTCTACTTCGGAGGAAACTTCAACGTTTACGCCAGACATAACACCTTTGATATTGGCCGCCCATCGGGACAACTACGAGATCATCAAAATTCTGCTCGATCGTGGCGCCGTTCTGCCCATGCCACACGATGTGCGTTGCGGCTGTGACGAGTGCGTCCTGTCCCGGCAGGAGGACTCGCTCAGGCACTCGCGCTCTCGAATCAATGCCTATCGTGCGCTGGCCAGTCCCAGTCTTATAGCACTGTCCTCCAAGGATCCTATACTCACGGCCTTCGAGCTCTCCTGGGAGCTGCGACGTCTCAGCTTTCTGGAACACGAATTTAAGGTAAGCTAGATATGCCAAATGCGATATGGTGTATAGTATGTATGGGACTATCTTTCAGAACGAATATCAGGAGCTGCGAAAGCAGTGCCAGGATTTTGCTACCGCCTTGCTAGATCATACGCGCACCTCGCACGAGCTGGAGATCTTGCTAAATCACGATCCCACTGGCCCGGTCTTTGAGCATGGCGAGCGCATGCACCTGAATCGCCTGAAGTTGGCTATCAAACTGCGACAGAAAAAGGTAACTTAATATGAGAAAATAGACATTTCTCTCTCTCTCTCTATCTATCTCGTTCTCTTATGCACTCAGTTTGTGGCGCACTCGAATGTGCAACAGCTATTGGCCAGCATTTGGTATGAAGGCCTACCTGGCTTTAGACGCAAAAACATGGCTCTTCAGACACTGGACATCATTCGCATTGGCATCCTGTTTCCCATTTTCTCGCTGGCCTACATTCTGGCGCCGTACTCCAGCATCGGGCAGACCATGCGGAAGCCCTTCATTAAATTCATTTGCCACAGCGCCTCGTACTTTACGTTCTTGTTCCTTCTAATGCTCGCCTCGCAGCGCATTGAGACCTTCATTGGCAGTTGGTTCTGGTCGGACGCGACGACGATGCTGAACCAGACGGAGGAACTGCAGCTGCCCACCAAGCGCGGAGCCAAGCCCACCTTCATCGAGTGGCTGATTCTGGCCTGGGTGAGCGGGCTCATCTGGAGCGAGGTGAAGCAGCTGTGGGACGTGGGCCTGCAGGAGTACCTCAATGATATGTGGAACGTCATTGACTTTGTGACCAACTCCCTCTACGTGGCCACAGTGGCACTGCGCGTCGTCTCGTTCTTTCAGGTAATCATCACAGACTCAGCCTCTTTTCCTTCAGTCCCTTAACACATGGCTCGTGCAGGTGCAAAAGGAGATGAAGGTTAATTCGCAGGCCACGGACTTGCCGCGCGAGCGCTGGGACACCTGGGACCCCATGCTCATATCGGAGGGCCTGTTCAGTGCAGCGAACATTTTCAGTAGCCTCAAGCTGGTGTACATCTTCTCGGTGAACCCACACTTGGGGCCACTGCAGGTCTCGCTGTCGCGCATGGTCATGGACATCATGAAGTTCTTCTTCCTTTACGTCCTGGTGCTCTTCGCCTTTGGCAGCGGCCTCAACCAGCTGCTCTGGTCGGTATTGCAACTGCCTAACAATCATTTACTTTAAATAATATTTACAAGTTTAACCTAATTTTTCATGGACTCATGGACTCAGGTACTATGCTGATCTGGAGAAGAAGCGCTGTCCCGAGGTCTCACCCAGCCTCCTGCTCAACTTGAATGGCACCAATGATCCGAATGCCTGCATTGTCTGGCGACGTTTCTCCAAGTAAGTTCCTTCCGCCTTAAGGTGGGCTTTTTAGACTATTTTTTCGAAACACAAATCAAAAGTCTATTTGGAATTAGTTAATTAAATTAATTTCTATTTTAATAACTTTTTATATACTATGTATAATTTTTAATTTAATTTTTTTTTTTTTTTTTCATAAAATAATATAAAAAGTAATAAAGTTTTTTAATTGTTATTTTTATTTTAACTATGCATGAATATATTTTAAAATTGGACATGTTTCTTTTATATATTTTAATTATATTTCTTCCTTAGTCTTTTTGAGACCACTCAAACCCTATTTTGGGCTGTCTTTGGGCTGATTGATCTGGACAGCTTCGAGCTGGATGGCATCAAGATCTTCACACGTTTCTGGGGCATGCTCATGTTTGGCACCTATTCGGTTATCAACATCGTAGTGCTGCTCAATCTCTTGATAGCCATGATGAACCACTCGTATCAGCTAATATCGGTAGAGTAACTAAACCAAATAATAGATCTATTATCAAATATAACTTCTGTTATCTCTAGGAACGTGCTGATGTGGAGTGGAAATTCGCACGCTCCAAATTATGGATCAGTTACTTCGAGGAGGGCGGCACTTGCCCGCCCCCGTTCAATATAATTCCCACGCCCAAGTCCATATGGTACGCCAGCAAATGGATGCGTCAGGTGTTCTGCAGCGGCTCCTCGGCCGCTCGACGGGAGCACCTGAAGACAATACGTGTAAGTACAGGGACTAAATTAGTGAATAATTATATCTTATACTAACTAACTAAAACCTCATGCTAGCGCAAAGCACAGCAGGCCAGCGACAGGGACTTCAAGTATCAGCAGATAATGCGTAATCTGGTGCGTCGCTATGTCACCGTGGAGCAGCGCAAGGCGGAGTCTCAGGGTGTCACAGAGGATGATGTCAACGAGATTAAGCAGGACATCTCTGCTTTCCGCTGCGAGCTGGTGGAGATACTGAAGAACAGCGGCATGGATACGAACGTGACTGCAGGACAAGGTGGCGGTAAGCTGCGCTTGGATACACTCGACTCACACTCTAATCTCAATCTCAATCTCTCTCTTACTTCACACTCAGGCGGCGGTGGCAAGAAGAATCGCCAGAAGGAGCGTCGGCTCATGAAAGGCTTTAATATTGCGCCACCAGGCTCGACGAGCTCCTTGGCCCCGGTGGCCGAGTTCTCCACATCGCTGGATAATTATGATAATCAGCATGAGATACTTAGCTCCACGCTCTCCACACTCTTCACGCCCAACTTCATACACAGACGCCAGAACACCACTGGCGGCATGGGTGGCGCTGAGTCACCCACCACGCCCACTCAGAGCCCGGCAGCAGCAACGCCCGCCACGGCTGCCACAAAGTACAATAAGACCACGTTAAAGTACAACAAACGCATTGCAGGCCACAAGAAACGCTGGGGTAAGCTAAGGACAATTTCAAATATATCCAATCTCTCATCATCATCATCATCTTGCATATTTATAGGTACACTGATTGAAGCCGCCAAGGTGGGCAACATGAGCAAAATGCTGGGACGCTCCAAGTCGGAGGATTCCGTCTGCGATTCCTCGCATGACACCACATCTGTGCACGACCAGGTGCGTGTGAGCTATGCCCAAGGCTCGGCCCAGTGCACAGTTAACTACAGACAGAACGGCGGAGATGGCAATACCCTGGGGTCAGCTCTGCCACCGCCTCCAGCAGCCTCCTCGGCACACACGTATGGGGGCGTGGGCGCGCACTTCTTTCACACAACGACAGGTGCATACAATTGAGTCTTGAGCTGCATTTAAGTAGAAAGGTAAACAATGTCTATATCCATTCCAGGTCTAACTGCCATTGCTGCTCTGAAACGCAAACGCAAAAAATTCTCATCAAGCAAAAACATTTGCCCCGTGACGGAATCAATTGCAGCTGCCAATGCAGCGGAGCTATTGAATGATAAGGTAAGCTCCTGAATAGTAACAATTCCCAATTATTATTTTAATATTTGTTTGTTAATTCGTTCAGACGCTTAAACGTGTGTCCAGCTATCCGGCAGCCACTGCTCAGGTAAGTGGCCCACACAAGGATACCGCTCAGGTGGTGAAGCCGCGACGGCATGAGCAAACGCAAAGTCAACATGATTCGGTTGAGGCCTCCACGGAGTTCACACTATCCATTGATCCATCCAATACGTCTGTCAATTCGCGTGAGCCTTTGATTAGCAGCAGCTGTGTCTCTACCATGGGCACCATTGGCTGAATATCAGTGAATGAATTCACATTACAGAAAAATAATAACTAAATGAAATAGATTAACAAAAACTTAAGTAAAATGGCAAAAAGTTTTTGCTAATTTGTCTGCTCAATCCAAATTCATTCAGTCACTCACACAAAAATGCATTTGTACCATATACATATGTATATATAATATATATATATATGTATTAAGCAGACGAGCCATGGGATTTGAAATGCTACCAATACCAAATATTATTATATATATATGTATACATATACATATGTAACTAACCCATATCGATGTTAAAAGCTGCCTTAGCATTAGAAATAAATGTTAGCATAAGCGAAAAGGGTATATCTGTCTTAAGAGATGGTTGAAGAAAATATTAAAAAATATACTAAAATATATATATAATAATAAAATAAAATATATATAATAAATAATAATTTAAAAAAAAGCAAATAAAATAATTCACATGTTTATGTGACAAGTTTTTGGAAGCATATTAAATTATTGTACTTGGACCTAGGACTACGAAATGTTTTTCATGTTTCATACATAAGTGAGATAAATATAAAATAAAGCAAATACCACAATATTTTATACACCGATTTTAACCAAACTCAACAAACAACAATAAACGAATTGCGAAACTGTTAATGATTTTAGCGCCTATATCCTGAAATACCTATAAGTATATAATATATTTTGTAGTTACCATAAAAAAAAAAAAAATGCTACAAATTTTTAGATGGTTTTTAGGTAAATGCAAATGTAATTTTGAATTGTATTAGTATGTTGAAGTTCACAAAAATCTTAGACTTAGATTAATAACTAAATGCAACTAAAACTAACAGAAATAACGAATTAATTAAACAATGAATAGCGGGAAATACTAATGATATTAATAATATTACAATAACTGCGATAAACGAACATCTAGTTGATTTAAATGTTATATTTAATTTTCATATAAATACATACACATATGCAAATACGAATACGAATACGAATACAAAACTTACATATCAAACAAAATACGATAACGTCCAACTAACAGATAATTTATGTTATATATTATTTAAGATGATTAAAAAATACGAGAAAATCTATGTTATAGTGTGAATTGGTTTAGCTAACTATGGTAGAATGAGAAAGTGTTAACAATAAAAATAATGATGAATAAAGCATTTTAAGTACGCAACTTATTTCACTTCAAAAACTCTTTGCAAAGTACATCATTCATTATCTCATCTATCCCATTTTATAGTCGGTCACTTGATGAATGTCTTCACTTGACTTGATCAACGTCTATCCAGTCGTCTGTTCACCTGTCTATCGAAGTGAAGGAAAAAACCATACCAAACCATATCTGTCAAATATTATAAAGTTTGCCACCTAGAACGCCAAATGTAAGCTCACCCAAAGATCGACTTTGAAATGTGTTTTACTGGAAGCGATTCCAACTATGTTAAAAGCTGAAAATTCAAATATGCAGACTAATCTGATATATCAAAGCATGATATGATATTATCAAGGTTTAGCTAGAACTTAAAGCGACTTGGTATCAACTTCCCGACATATTCCCCTAAATAGTATATCATATTTAAACGTATCGATGTGCAGCATCAGATCTAAGAATACATTATTCCAGCTGCATATGATACATTGGTAATTAATTAGTGGTAAAGCATCTGATATCCAGGTAGTCCCACTACAACTTTAAGGCAGTGCTACGTAATATAGAGTCTGATAAGATCAATTAGAAAATATATATACCGATGAGCCCATATTAAAAAGATCATTACATTTTTGTTTTTTTGTATATCGCATTTATTTTATATATAATTATATGTATATATGTATATATAGAAACATATGCATACACATTTATATATATATATATGTATATACATATACATATATGTGTATATACTTTGCAAATAATTATTATAAATATGCATTACATATATGTATATGTATATGTATATATACATATATATACATGCATAGATATATATACACACACATATATATATGCCTGTATAATAAACAAATATATCGACAAATAGTACAATATATAGTTCTAATATAATAATATATATATTTATATATATTCTGTATATATTGTAACCATTTACCGACGTAAACATACATATCTTCAGTATATATTTTGTAATTATTCATTAAATTTCATATTAAACTATGGAAAGAAACGATTATATTAATTTATTTAATTAGAAAAATAATAATAATTGGAATATAAATCACTTTGCGTTGCATTAGGCTATAAATTTCAAATATTTTTATCGTATGCTCTAAATAATTTTTATTTATTTATTTTTTATTTATTTTTTCTTCATTTTTGTGTAAAAAATATATTTATGTATATATTTATATAATTATATATTTGTTTGTATTGTGTGTATTTATAGAAACGTCCTTTATTTATTTTGTTGTTTGTTATTATTTTTTTTTCTTGCCTAGCATGGGTTTGCAACATAATGTCCGCAGCATCTTTAGGGATCGTTAAGAACCAACATGTGTTCCGCCATTAACACGAGATATAATTCATGTAAGCTCTGTTATAATTGGATTGGATTGTATGCTACGATATATATATTTATATAGCCGCGCTATGAATTTTTCAATTTTGTATTTATAATAATAATAATAATAAATTGTGTATATATAATAATTCACATGGAAAGTTAAGAGAATGAAAAAAGCGTCTGTTGTTAAATTAGCTCGAAATGGACATAGTTTCAATGCGCCACTCGAATCTCAACAGTTCGGAATGGGCTATGGATCAACTTGCATCCATCGTCACGTTTTTCTTTTTTTTTTGTTCTTGTATTTTCTTTTTTTTTTTTTTTTTTTGGCTATCCATAACAATTGTACAGCTCTAAAGTTATTTATATATTTGCATAGTTTCATTAGTTCAAAGATATATATATATATATATATATATATATATATATATAGTTACATATACATTTGCAAACAGACAGATATAGTAGTGGTTGTTATCAGTTTCATATACCATGATAGAGCATAGTCTAATAAATTCATAATTTTCGGTATTCATTGTTTATAACTTTCGTTTCAAATATTTATAGTGCATTAACATACACATACATCCATGTTCAACAACAATGCGGTAAACAGTAAAAGAGGCTCTTGTAAAGGTTGTAAGAATTTCTAGGTTAAGCTTAGTTGTTTTTGTTTTTGTTTGTTTGTTTGTTTACTTGTATGTACATTGAGAGTTGGTTGTTGCACAAAATGCTATAGCACATATGGAGATTTTTGTGTGTAGTATACATATGCTTGTGTGTGTGTGTGTGAGTGTCTGTAATCGATTAAACATGTAGTTAGCCACATAATAATTTATGTAAAATTGTAAATAAAGAGTTCTTAAGAATGTTCATTGTATAGATATACTGTATATAATATTGTTGGTGTTGTTTAAGGAATTGTTTGTGAAGTGTGTGGGATTACTGTTGCCTTCTTACATATATAGAGATTTAGGAGATGTACAATCGATTTCATATTTATATATATATATATACACATACATAAACACATATAAAAATGATAATAATAATAATAATAATGATAATAATAAGAAAAACAAATGCGAGTGATTTGCAATCACTTTTTTGAGACACGTGACTTTTTGTGTGACGATCGATTGCCAAATCAGCCACAGAGCATGTGCACCAGCATCGCCACTAGGAAAGTCACGAATACAAATGAAACCACAAAGAAGACGGCCTTCTGTTGGTCCGTCAGCCGCTTTCTATTGTAGTAGAGCGCCATCAGCCTGGAGACGAAGCGTCTGATTATGCCGCCGTGGGGCAAGATGAAGTTGCTGCTGCTGCCGCTGCCGCTGCTGTTGCCGTTGCTGCTAGTTGTGGAGCCCATGACGGCAGCGGTGGCATGCGGCAAGTGTGCATGATGCATGTGGTGTGAGTGGTGCAGATGATGCTGATGGTGCAAGTGATGGGCACCGCTGCTGTTGCCGCGCAGCTGCAACGTAGACGCCGATGGACCAGCCAGACCCGACGAGCCCGCTGGCTCCCCGGGGCACGCCTGATGCGGCTGATGATGCGGCTGATGATGGTGATGATGATGATGGTGATGATGATGCAGCGGATCGCCGCAAGCATTGAAGTTAGCTGCAGCCAGCTCATGCTGCAATCGGCCAATCGCCTGGACATCAGCTCCAACTCCACTATTGCCGCTAATCGCCGAGGCACTTACCGAACGCATGTGCACGCTGTTCGTATCCGATTGCTTGCGGCTAGCCCGCTGCGTCGTCTGGCTGGGCACCATTGCCGATCCATGCAGATGGTGGCAGGGTGCCGTGCTGGCGTCCAGCTCCTTGGGCACTTGATATCGCAGCGCCGCTGACGTCTGGCCTGGGAACAGCTCGCCGCTGCTGGTGACGCGCACCGGACACACCCGAAACTGGTAGCAAGTGCCCGGCACAAGATTGTCTATGGTAAACTTGGTCTCTGGTCCACGGTACAGCTGTCGGTAATCCAGGTTGCTTAGCGCCACGGGTGCTGCACTGGTGTTGGTGTGGTTGCTGTTGCTGCTGCTGTTGCCACTGGCACTGCGCGCCTTGGGTGAGCTGGAGCTGTCCGCATCGGAGGCGACGATGGCGTACTGCAACTCATACTCGACACGATCGTTGAAGCTGTTCTTCGAGTGCTGCCACTCGAGAGTGAGCTGCACCAGCGGTTGGCTGGCCTGGTCCAGCAGGCAGACGCCCTCGTGCAGCACTCGCGGCGCCTTGATGTTGGCCGGCAGCGTGGCGCCCGTCTCGAATACATACTCCTCGGAGTACTCACCGTCGCCGGCCCGATCCGTATGCGCATAGATGCGGAATGTGTAGCTGCTGCGCTCCTGCAGCTTGTGTATCTTGCACATGCAATTCGTGCCCGAGTAGACTGTTTGGAATTGCTTCGCCCTGGCCACATACATTTCCACATAGTACTTGGTAAAGTCCGCACTGCTGCCGCTAAGTGCGCCGGACGAGAGCGTAGACACGGATCCCGTCTTGCCGCTGTCGCCCCATTTGAGCTTCAAGTAGTTGTGCCCAGAGCCGCTGCACTCGAGCCGCGGTGGCGCTGGCGGTGCCGGCTGCGTCGTTAGCTTGACGTAGGTACTGAAGAGTCCACTGCCTATCGCATTTACCGCCTGCACCCGGAATTTGTAGCTTGTCTCGGGCGTGAGGCCAGTGACTGTGTAGCGCGTACAGGCATCCGGCGTAGCGATTGTGCGTTCGCCGTATTCAATGTTGTAGTTGCTGATGTCGGCACCATGGGACGCTGGCGTTGTCCAGTTCAAGGTGACTTCCTGTGAGGTGAACTCGTAGCCCAACATCTGCGGAGCGCCGGGCACAGCAGCGGGCGTCGATACGCACACAGCATCCGTTACGGGTCCAGCGCCCGCCGCATTGCTGGCCAGTACGCGTAGGTAATACCGTGTATAGGGCGTCAGATTGCGCAGCTCCACTAGAGTCTGGGGTCCCTGGTAGCAGCCATGGAACTGTGTGCTGGGCGGCTCAGCCTGGGGCTCGTCCAGCTGCTGGCTGGCGCTCTGCAGGCTATAGCCACTGACAGCCGCACCGTTCAGCTGCGCCGGCGGCTTCCAAGTGACGGTCAGATGGGTCGCCGACTTGACCACAACTTCCAGGTCAGTGGGCGCACTGGGCGGTGCGGCGGCCGCTTCGAAACGCAGCCACGGCGACCAGCTACCGGCGCCAATGCGATTGATGGCACGCACCTGTGCCTCATAGACACCACCCGGTGCCAGCTGCTGGGCCACAAAGTAGTCTTGTTTGCCGCGATACACGATTTGTGGCTGCGAGGGCTCCGATGCATCGACGCTACGCAGCTGCGCCTCAAATTCCAGAACCGGCGCACCGCCATTGTTCTCCGGCTGGGTGAGCCGCAACAGCGCTGCGTAAGGCGTTGGTGGTGCATCGCAATGGGGCTGGGGTGGTGCGGCTGGTGGGACTGCCTCTGTGGTCACATGCCCGATCTCCGAGAACGGACTCTGCCCGGCAGGACCCTCGCAGCAGACACGCAGCTGATAGGTGGTGCCCGGCTGCAGCCGCTCACACATCGCCTCCGTTTCGCTGCCAGTGTAAATGCGCTCGAAGCTGGCTCCCGCGCTGAGTTCCAGGTGGTAGCGCAAGATATCCGAGCCACCGGTGTCTGACGGCGGCTCCCAGCGCGCCTTGAAATGCGTGCCGTGTATCTTGCCCTTGGCATGCGGTTTTCCCGGCCGGCCGGGCCGCTCCGCTGCCGTGCAGTAGGTAACCTCCTTGGACCAAGGCGACACACCAGCATCATTCTCCGTGCGCAAGCGGAACTGATAGTTGGTGGCGCGTCGCAGTTGCAGGCACTCGTAACGGGTCTCGCCACCCTTGTAGCTGTTCAGGTAACCGTGTCCGGACTCAGCATCCTGCAGCTGCAGCAGAAAGTCGCCGTCCTGTGATCGCCGCTCCCAGACGAGCTGCAGCGAGCTGGCGGTGCAGGCCTGCAGCTGCGGCGGCATCGGCGCTGTGGGCGGATTGCCGGCTGTACTGTAGCTGCTCACCTGCGAATAGGCCGACTGGCCGATCTCATTGACGGCAGCCAGGCGAAAGCTGTAGACTGTGGTCGACTGCAGCTTGTTGAGTTGATAGTGCTTCGCCTTGGTTTTGGCCAGCTCCGTGAACTGCAGCGCATTGCCACGCCCCTCGTCATAGTCCAGCAGATAATATTGAATGGGCGCACCGTTGGCTGCCGGCGCCGTCCAGCGCAGATTTATCGAGCTCCTGGTGCGCGACACCAGTTTGGGGGGCAGCGGCTGGTCCGGCTCACAGGCTGGCGTTTTGAACTCGGTGGGTTCGCTAACGCTGCCCTGCAGCTGCTGATAGTGCACCTGCAGCCGTACCAAGTACTCCTGTCCCGGCTGCAGATCCTGCACAATGCACTCGTACGCCTCGCCCCGGTACAGGCTCTTGTATTTGCACTGTTTGCCCGTGTCGCTGAGCAGCACTTGGTAGCGTAGATCCTGCACATTCAGCAGCAGCGCATCCGTTATGGTTGGCGGCACCCATATGATTTTCGCTGCACGCGAACTCACATCGATCACCTCTGGCCTGTCAATGGCCGAGATCTGTTCGACGATTTGGGCCTGGTAGTCCTCCTCATCCTCGGCGGCCACACTGGACGTGTCCTCGCCATCCTCTGACGTGCCCACTGAGCTCGCGCCGCCCACACTGCTGCGCGTGGGCGCGGCCAACTGCTGTCCAGCTGCGGTGCTAGCGATGACAACGTTGCGCTGCTGCTGCAGCGCCGGTTGCGGCTGCTGATACGCCAGGTGGCGTCCACGCACATGGCTATGCATGTGGTTGTTGTGCTGGTGCTGCTGTGCTACTGGAATGTTGTTGTTACTGTTGTTGTTGTTGTTGCCGCTGTTGTTGTTGTAATGCCCATTGATGTCATTGCGACGTGGAGAGGGCGAGTGCGTGGGCGTGGACATGCTGGAGTCTACAGAGCAGCAGAGTAAGGGAATCCCATTAATTGAATATACATATATTTGCAATCAATAATTAATACTCACTCAGCTCACGCTGCTTCTCCAGCTTACGCAGCAGCTTCGTATGCTGACGCTGGCTGCGCTCATCTCTGTAGTTGGGCGGCGATGGCGAGTGCGGGGAATGTAAGTGCGGCTGTGACGTTGGCGGCGCACCGCCAGCTGTCGCCGTGCCAGCCTGTTGGGCACCCGTCTGCTGCTGCTGCTGCTGCTGCTGCTGCTGCTGCTGCTGCTGCTGGGGGCGGCGGCGGCGGCGGCATATGATAATGCGGGGGCCCGTTGCCCGTTGGTCCTGGCCCAGGCGGATAGCCGGGCAGCGGCGTATAGAAATGCGATGTACCATTGCTGCTTATCTGAAAACGAGTTGCAAAATGCTTTAATGAAACTGCGAATAGTCAAATTTTGTTGTAAAATAAATACAGATTCTGTTGTTGTCGACGTGGTCGTTGTTGATTTAATCTTTTGCGGCTTCATTGCTAGCTGACACTGCGAAAAGTATCCACGTCAACGAAAAGTACAACTATAAATAAACCAACGCGAACTTTTTTTTTTTTTTTTTTTTTTTTGCTATTGCTGATAAACAATCGCAAAACTACACAAAACCCGGAATCTCGTCGTTGCCGTCCGTGAATTTTTGTATTTCAATCATTTTTAATTGGCTTTTAAAAGTTACAATGCTCCAATAATAACTGATCAATTATTATCATTTAATTATTTGTTGAATTTTACTTTCTTCTTCATTAAATTAAATGATAAACCGTATCTACTTAACACGATTCTGTTAATTTTGTTAGAACACTGCTAACATGCTGTTGTACTCAAGTGAGTCTGCAATCATTGTTTATAGCAGAATGACAGCTCATACAACAAGAGCAACTGTCGATATATCTACCCTTAAAAATAATCTATCTGGCAACGCTATTCTGCAAACAATTAACAGTCAACTGAACTGCATAAATGCTGCGCGCGCATTTGAAGCACAAAGAGTAAATTTAAATCATTGTGACAAATTGCTCAATTATTAGACAAAACTACATTTAGCCAAGTATGACGAAATCATAACATAAACGTACATTGCATAACCCTGTTATTCATACCAATGCAATTTATAAACTGTTGGAAATTTTTTGGTACAGTCATTAAACAAGTTAACACATAATTTTATTGACTTGGGGATAACCTGTATTTAAATAGTCACCAAATTTCAATGAACATAAATATCTAGTAAGATTGTATTATTTGAGTTGACAGACTTTGCAAAAAATAATGAGGAAAATTTTTTATTATATATTTTATTGCAAAATATATAGACATAAATAGTTTTCAAAAGATATAAAAAAAAAACCCCTTTGAATTAGCATACAATCAAGTGATAATGAGATTGCACAAATACAACGGAAGCTGGCTTTCGCCTTGGTAAATTTGTTGCTGAAAATTCGGTAGACAATTCCGAAAAGAAGAAAAACAAAGAAAAAACTTTGTCTACACGAAGTCGAAGGTTAAATATACTATGTGACATAATCTTGTGCAACACCGATGACTTCATACACTAGCTAATATATGCAAAATATAAGAAGAATCTATGGATCAAAAATCAGTCAAATCCTAATAGCCTAACTAAACAAATAAAATTTTAATATTTAATTTAAAATTAAATATTACTTAAATAAATTATCTACATTTGTAGTATAATAGGTCTCACTAATATGAAAATTTCACAAAACACTTTTCATACTTGCAGATAACCTCAAAAAAAAAATGAAGAGTATTTGGAAACGCCGTCACTTTTAATTCAGCAACTGAGCGTGACGCCGTTTCTGCTGCTCTACATATGACTCCGGAAGTTGTTGGCGCTGCAATATTTATGTTTGAGTTTATTAAAACGCCATTGGGCGACGGTTGTTGACGGCAGTTACCTACATAACCTATATATGTGTGTTTGTATCTATGTAAGTGTATTTGCATCGAAGTAGAAAATCAAATTCAAATTATATCTCCTACATGTTTATATCTAGAGTCTTCAAATTTTAAATATAGTTTCATATAATCCACTCTAAGTGTTTCTTCCAAAGTTTTCCTCTACGTATTTTCTGTAGGTATTTTTTTCAGTATTTCTTCTAAGTATTTCCTTTAAGTATATCGTCTAAGTATATTATACAAAGTATTTCCTCTGTCTTTACTGCTTAGCTCAACGATCACAACCTTCCCCACCAGGCCTGGGCCACTGAAGAAATTCTGAAGCTGTTGTCCTTCCCCTTTAAATAGGGTAACTTGCACTCAAAAATTAAGTCGCGCCAGGTTGGGGTCGTTGCAGTCGAGCTATAAATGACCAATGGGAACACTCTCTGCTGCTCCATGCATTCTACAAAATGAGTACGGCTTCATACATATAGAGAACTAATATGATCTTCTGTAGCTCTTCTTCGTCCAGTGCATTTCTTAGGCAAACACGGACGGAGAGAGAGTCTGTGAGGAGACAAGGAGTTAAACGGCAGAGAGACAGTTATACAAACACGCATTCTATTCATATGCATATATAGATTTATATATGCGCTTAACTGAGTCGATTTTTCTTTGTAAGCGTTCAGCTAATAATTGGAAAATCATAGCTTTAAGCCCATATTTCAATTTAGCTTAAAAGCGTATTATACATTTCTTATTAATAATAAAAAATAAATTATTGTGCGTTTAAACGAAAGGCATAAGTAATTTCAATCACGACAGCCCTGTTTAATTGCTAGGCAAATAAACTATTCAACTATTAAGAAGGCACATCTTCATAAATCAATGCTAATCAGAATACAATTTCCTATAAGAATGATTGCAGAGAGTACAAATGATTTAAATACAATTCATTTATATATTATTCTAATAGTTAAAATAATCATATAAAGTGATTATTTTTTATAAATGTTTTAACTTAGTTCCGTTTTGCCTGCCTACTTGATCGCTTATCGCCTCGTTTGCACTCGCAATTCTCCATTGTTCTAATAATCAAAGCTGCTGCTGCTGTGGCGATTACTGCATTGACAACACGAAACAGCAAATGTCTGGGTTAAGCCCGCAGTCGAGTTCCAGGAAAACATCAACTGAATCGGGTTTGTAAAACAAAAAAAAAATAAAAAACAAAAAAAATAAAAAACAAAAAATTCATTACGTACGTACATACTATCGCACACCATATTCGTGTGAGACTCCAAGATGCACATTACTACTAATTGAGTTAGTTCTAATGATCTCAAATATATATATATATATATATATATTTAGTTAGTTAGAAATGTATCAATATCACAGAATTAATATATCTAGAATTTCTTTAGTGTAAAAACTAGAGAACAAGAGAAACTAGGTACAAGGTATATTTCTGTCGAACCTTTGGACGGCCACATTTCGCTGGAATATAAAATTTGCATTGCCAACTGTTATTCGTTGAGCTTTGTATTATAATTGCTGTCGATGATTGACGCTCAATTAGTAATCAATTTTCTATATTTGATAATGAGAAGTTTACACTGCCTGCACAGGCAAATTTTATAATTGATTGACCAGCTGAGCACTGACTGGAAACAACATATGTATATCGGTTATCTATTAGTCTGAACATATGTATGTTGTTTCCAGTCAGTGCTAGAATACTGAATGGCAGTAAAGGTGAAAGTAGGCAAGAAGAGGCAGGGCAAGTTTGGTTTATAATAGAACACAAAAATATTTCATAGTTGGAAACTTAGTATCCATATGGCTTATATGAGTTACTCACAGTATACTTACTAAGTTACGAAAGTGGTTTATAAATAGAGAATTTTTCCAAGTGTAGAGCAAACTTGGAAACTCTAGAATGGCAGCTGTGTGGATGACCAGCAGTTCTAATGAAATCGAAATTCGCGATAAATAAAAAAAAATTTATTCCGTGAAAAAAAAAAATGCGTTCTCCATATTTCTTGATCATTTGAATTTCTGTGTTAATCTCAAAAAAAAAATAAAAAAAATCTAATCCGACTCGACTGTATATATATTCTATTTCAAGTTAATATAAATACGCAACTTCTATTTAGTATTTCAGTCTCAAAAAATTCAGTAGCTAGCCAAAAGGAATGATGATATGATATTTTTTATATATCTTTAGTAGTTTGTGATTTAATTAGAATCTTTCTCGCCTGCCTCTATGTTATACGTACTAGGTAAATCGTGAATCTACTCTAAAATTGTACTTACAAATGGTCCTGCATGCAGATGTCCCTGACCGGTATGCAGTTGCTGGTATTGCTGCGGCGGTAGCACCACATGGGTCAAAGTTCCGTTTTCATTGACATATGGTGGCACCTGCACTGGCATCGTCATCGTCGGCGGCTGACGGTTGTGGGAGACCATTTGAACGGCCGTTGGACCTATAAAAATAGAAAGAAAGGAAGTGGATGTTTTAGTGCACAATCAAACTCGGTTTCGAGGTCTGTGTAAAGTGAATGAAGATAAAAAATAAGTATTAATGGAGGAAGTCCATCGTTATCCAAATACTTCTCTAAAACTTTTACAAGCTGCTGCTGGCGCTGCTGCTGCTGCTGCTGCTGCTGCTGCTACTACTGCTTTTACTGTTTTGTTGCACATCATGGTACTTAAATAACTTTGCAGATTTCTTATAAATATTTTAGTACTTAATTATGGCAAGCAAATGTAGTTAATAAAACAGCAGAAGTTGGAGTTATAGTCAACACGAATTTGATAGAGCTACCAGCCAGAGTTGCAGGCGAACCGAATATGAGGCTAAAGTTAAACTTAGATTGAGTCAAGCACAGGGCAAGCAGTCGCTCAACTATTTTCCATATCAATATTCGTAGAGCTTAGGCTCTGACCTAATCAGCCGTAAAAAGCAGACGCGCATAGCCAGCCGTTCTTTAACGGCAACTCCATTACACGTTTGCCTCCACTACTTAGGTGTAAAAATGTCGGTTTAGTGCGCTGATGCATACCATTGCAAAGTAAAATTCATGATAGTCGATAACAGCAGCGACGACTGCGACTGCGACTGCGGCTCCAACTGCAACTGCAACTGCAGAAAATCCAATCCATTTAAAATGCAGCGAATGTCTGAATGTTTAGTGTTTTAGTGGAGAAATTGCACGACTTACGAATACTCTAATCACAGAGAAATGCAAAATATATCATATTGTATATATTCTTATAAGGCTATTGAACTCTGTGAGATATATAAATATTTATAAGATTTATGGACAGCGAGATGAGCTGTTGTAATATTTGTGGCTTCTCTGAATGTTGTCTTAACCCACATGCAAATTTTATAGGCTACACCTATTATAAACAAACGCCTATGAAAGACATCGATTCATACTTTCTTCGCTCAAACTATTACATACATTTCTTAAGTTATAAATGGGCAAAATAAGATTGATGAATGAAAATCAAAGTATTTTAGTATATTAAATATGAAATACTCTTGCAGACATTTGATAAATATATGATATGATATGATATAATAATAAATGAATATAGAATAATAATAATAATCGACAATATTAATATTCTTTATGAAATATATTTTGCTAACCACATTGGTATTATTTAACATAAAAGCATTAATTATTATTATTTTTTAAGTAATATACCTCAAACATGATATTATAATAGGTCACGTTATTTGAAAAAGTATGCCGATGTAAATATGATTTTTGCTAATAGTTCAGGAATATAATTAACCAGAAAATATATTTGTTCAAGTTTTACATAACTATTTAGAGTTGAAATGCGCTTCGGCAAATTCAGTTATAGATGCGTTACGAATTTGCTGTTCAGCTTTGAATACCTTCGGCCAGAGTATAAAAGCTGACTAGACACATTGAAAGTGTTAAAAGGCAGCAGGGAGCGGGAGATAGGGGATCGGGCATCGGGAATTTCCGTAGCGGGTGTAGGCGTGGTGGAGCTTACCATTTGGCCAGCAGACAGTAAAATGCCTGCCAGAGCGAAAGCGCTGGAGTGGCGGACTGTTTGCAACTAAACTCAAACTTAATTAATGCTAAACAGCTTAACGGCGCACCAACTCGCCAGGCGGAATGTCGGTATTCATTTTGAAGGCAAATCTTAAAACGTAGTTAATTAAAGGGAACTAAACCCATCTTGGCCACATACACACATACATACATACTTTTTCAACCAGCCAAGTGTAACATAAGCCCAAACCTAGTATCAGGTGTTTTTTTTTTTTTTTCTAAGGAATTTTCAATACTAAAAATTGAAATTGTAAATTTCCAGAGATTTCTTACATTTTCATGAATTGTCATTTAGTAATTGCAATAAATATTTTATGACAAATGTAAAAAGAAGTATAATATTTCGATGTCAGCTATATAAATACAGCTGTGCACTGATTCTGTCTATATACTCGTAGAAAGTTGAGTTTGCCCTCAATTTCCAACTGGCATTCCTATTCAATGAATAGCAAAACATCTGCAAAAACACAATTATTCCAATTCATTGGAATACTAATGAATTGGCTGACAAGCGTAAAGCTTTAAGTAGAACAACAAAATTGGGCAATATACGGGCAAATTTTAACTATGAAATTTAATCAACATCGGTCGCTGATATAAATGAAATACTTTTCAAAATGATTTTAAAAAAATATATTATTTTTGATAAGTGAAAATAAAAATGTTCCCGAATGATGTTGTTCCCCAATGTTGTTGTGTAGCGTAAATTAATGATAATATAGGTTTACGTATTCAAATCTAGTAATAAAAAACCCTGGCCGTGTGCCATATGCAGCCGGATGAGCCGAATGAATCATCAGGCAAACATTTGGCGTTACGGTGAATTTTGTAGAAATAAGTTTAGCTCTGGGGCATAGGGCAAACTATGGTGCATTATGCATGACCAACACTTGAGTTAAATGCCTAATATTTGAGTCAATATTCAACTGCACTAACTTTATGAATCACCAGTAGTCATAAGGGACCTAGCGAACAGCCCCACCAACTTTATTAAAAAAACACAAGCTCTAATTGGCCAGATAGATAACAAACATATATACACAAATATATAGTGTATACTTCTCTAATAGTCAAATTATTTTCCCGAACTCAATTTGCATGAAAGTGAGTTAAGATAAAAAGGTTTAATTCTATATACAGTATATAGAAATATAGTTAACGTTATGAAGGTTTGTTGCAATTGCCTTAAATTAACAAATATGATTATTAAGTTTTCACTCTACAAACTTTTATACACCTCCCATGAATGTCAAATCAAATGAAATATGAATGAATAAATTGCTTTACTCTTTGCCCTTTCTCAGATTAGTTTTAATAATATTACCAACTCATGCAAAAATTGCTGAACTGGCAAAAAGAGATGCACAGTGATTCATCTGGGACTTGACTTAATCGAGCCTAAGCTTGTTCTTCAAGTAAATTACTTTAGTGGGAAACATTGTTGCAGCTGATTGCATGCAACTTTGTTGCAAGCAGATCGACAAGTTCGGTTAATGGGCTTTGCCTACCAAAACTTTTCAACTTTTAATGGCAGCGATTTCTGCTCTTCTCTTTCCGATTTGCTAGTCCAACTAACAATGCAAAGTACCATAGGGAGCTGTCACAATTTCAATTGCAGCTAGCATTGTGATAACATATATTTTGATACGTATAAATATATATCACTCTGTTTGACAGCATACTAAACCCTCTGAGCAGTGACATCATCAGCTCTATTGGAGTGTAGCTCTATCCACACCCAGGATCAGAGCAAGATATGGCCTCACCCTGACCTCGTTAAGTTGCCGCATTTGCGAGTGCCCATAAAAAGTTGGAAGATTTGCAGGCAACACAGGCAGGCGTCTGCTTGCCAACTCTAAAGATGTGCGGTCAGGAAATGGGATTGAGATGCCTCCCGCCTTCCGCCTTACGTCTTCCGTCTTCCGCCTTCCGCCCCCATCCTTCCCTTTCCAATCAACTGGCAGACAACGCTATGATTGCATAACTGTAAAAAAGTTGAACGTTTGTCTGTCTGACCTTGTCCCGTGCACCAAGACCACCGGAATGCCTGTGCATTGGAAAGGTAACAAAACAGCTCGAACAGCTCTTGCCACATTTATTTTCACTCCTAGATAGTACTACGACTGTTTTGACCGGCATTTAAAAGTTTTGCCAGCAATCGCTAATTGAAAGCGCTGTTGGATTTTCCACTTGCACTTACACTTGGGTACACTTTGAGTACGACTAAATTCATTCACATGCTTACCTGCAAGTAAAAGAGAAAAATAAATTACAGTTAGATAATTGAAGTCTTCAGTGATAATACGACAATCGACAGACAGATAGTAAAACAAAAACTCATCAGGGAACGTTTTCATAGCCAGAGAGCTTGAACAGGTAGACAAATTTTATGAACACAGCATTTTCAGCTATGTTTCCATGGAATATTTTTCAAAAATTCCATTAACAAAACATTTTGTTGGAGAAATCTTTTATAAACCAAAAGAATTTCAAACAATTTCCAACTAAAATTTTATAGTTTCATGTAGAATTTCATGCCAATCGCCGTTCTTTGAAATACACGAAATTTGTGCTTCACCTTCAAACATATTTGTAAACACATGTGCGAAATATGAAATCAAGAAATGTTCAGATTCGTTGAATTGAATAAGTAAAGCTCTAACTAGTCGAGTATATATCCACATATTTGTAAAACATATAGTATATTTTCTTCAGAAAGTTTATTAAAAATATAGGTATATAAACTCAACTTAGAAAATCATTAAATCACAATATGGTTTTATATAGCTTTCATAGCCTAGCCATATTTTATATACCACATTTTTTAATGGTCACAAAAAGTAAATCATCAGCAGCGAGAAAGCCAAAAAATAAAACAGAATCAATTGAAACATACATAACAGACAAAGCATGCATACATACATACATACATATATATGTATATATCTAGTAGACTGAGAATATAGAGAATTAAGAGAATAGCACTCAGCTTGTCAGCGAACTGAAGTAGGATAGGAACTGTATGAGAAAAAGAGAGAGAGAGTTAGAGAGAGCGAACGAGATAAAAGTTGGTACAGTTACGATTTTTAATGCACGTTGCATGTGTGTTGCCACTTGCTAGGACCCCGTTCGTCATCCCTTCAACAGCCATCGCTCCGTTCCGCACCACATCGCCCCACTCTGCCCCATCCCGCTTATCTTAAGTAAGTTCTGTTGTTTGATGCCAATTTTTTGCATTGCTTCTCCTTTTTTGTCGGTTGTTGAACCCGCTTGGGCGCTAGGGCCATAAGTGGCCCTAGCCAAGAGTACCAGCAGTGACAACAACAACAACAACAATAACAACAACAACAATGAGAGAGTAACAGAAAATAAATGAAAACTGCGCTGCCATTCCGGCTGCAATTTTCTCCACCAGAGTCAAGAGAAATACGACGAAATAAATAAAATGCGTTCAAAAGACACATAAAATATGTTCAAATAATAAGCACACACACACACACACACATGCACTTACGTATACACACATAGCAGTTAGTTGCTGGGCGCCATTTTTATATACATATGCATACATGTGCGTGTATGTGTGTGTGCATCTACATTTATAGCTTAAGATTTATGCTTGCATAATTTAAATGTTGTCAACTAATATTGTTTAATTTCCAAGTTTGTAGACTATTTTATGTGCTGTCCATGTCCATTTTTGGCTCCAGCACATTTGCCAAACTCATTCAGAGGCTATTAAAAAAAAAAAACATACATATACGCACACAGGCACACACACACACAGAGAGTGAATTTGCAACACGTGGAATGCTAGCCAAAGGTAAGCCAGAGCTTCACAAAGGCCGCCTGGCTATATTTTATTTGCGTCTCTTGTGACAAGGTCACATCCAACTGAGAGATGTATTTTTGTGAGAAATGCTGAAATAATACGTTTGTCATCTCAGGTAAAGCATGAGGCAAAACAAAATACCTTCAACACCTACCGGAACACTTGTTGCGCTCGTTCGCGAAAAAAAATGGATGATTTACTTGGGATTAGAATTACGTGAAATTATTTTAAGATAAATATATGTTTAGATATACATATGTATGTACATAGATCGGCTTGTGGAAAGTAATAGAAATAGAAAACTTATTGAAATAGTCAATACTAGTGGGATATAGAAGAAGACGACCGACTAGAAACACCTCGATGCAGCACTGATTTTTGCAAGGAAAATATATATTTTTTGAGCGATGATGGAGAACGAATAAATCAGTGTATGAGCAACTAAATAAATAGGGTGTGCAGTTGACTAAAATTTACATTAAAGATTTAAATTTGAAACCCTTAAACTCTAAAGTTTGTGAGAATCTAGATCTCATATGGTGATCCGAGTATTTTAGTGATTTTTAGCTCAATTTAATCCATGTTATCAGCCACGCTTCAGTCTGTAAGTCTGCCATTAACAAAGGTTTTTACAAAGCCAAAAACAAAATGAAATTTCATTTTGAATTGGGACAGGCTATTAAAACTATGCTTTAAAAGAATTTAGGGGCATCAAGTGAGTAAGAATAAACACGAAAGCTTTCAAGAACTTCTTTACACTTTTCATGAATTCGCATTGGCTGCTATAAAACACAGCTAGACGGAGAACTTGGTTAAATAAATGCAAATTTTTATTATTTACGATTATTAAAAGAAACTTAATTATATTGCTTAATAGTATAAAAAGATGAATGTCTTGGATATGTCAGATTTCCTTCCCATACTCGAGCATTCAATGGAACATATACATATAATCATATATGTATATCTATCATTTATATACACCTATTCAGTATTATATATGTATATACATATGCAGTAGGTATATCATTTATATAGTATTCAGTCATTAAATCTGTACATATAATACGTATCTACAGATATGTGTATAGGTAGGTGAATGTCGGCGGTTCTGATTGTTAAAGAACTGGTTGGGCACTCACGATGACATTTTCGCGCTTTAAGAGCCCTCATAAATTTTAGTTGAAGACAAAACTTGTTTTGCCTGAAGAGTAGATCCATATGCAAATAGCATCACAAATGCCCAAGCATGAGTCAGAGACAACGAGAAATAAACTTTTTTTTCAGTCAGAGAGAGAGAGAGAGAAAGAGAGAGAAAGAGAGAGAGAGGGAGAGCAAATGCTTAGAGCATTAATTATCATACAGTTAATTACAGAATTACAAAGGTCAGGGCACAAAATACCGAAAATGGTTAAGGGCAGGTCGCGTTATGTATTACACATGTTTGAGACCTCTAATTAAGATATTTAAAGTCGAGTTTGAAGTAAGCATCTGTGTCATTGTATAAGAGGCTAATGATTAAATAGGTGAGTTACCACTACTATATATTATACATTCGGACGATGAAGTAAAAAAAAATTTCACAAGATTTTTAATGCTTTTTTATATGAGTTCACAGAGTTTTTAATAGTAGTAGTCTGCATCATTATCATATAACACTAATATATGCAGCTTCTATATAAGCTTATTAAAATTACTTAAACAAAGATTGCATAGTTGAATCTATGTTTCTACAATAGTATTTGCTAATTCTCTAATATCCATTCCCAATACTCTTATCTATATCCCAAAGAAGACTGTCCATAGTGAGCTCTAATAGCTTCACGCTCTCATATCGTGTAGTCACGCACTTCCAACTGGAGCACACTTAATAATCCATTTGTACGTGTGTGTGTGTGTGTGTGTGTGTGTGTGTGTGTGTGTGTCTGTGGGCATGCTGTAAAATAGAAACTACGCCAATTCAATTTAGAGATGCCTGCCTCAAAAAATGTGCTCCACAGTTTTCCACAGAGCGACGACAATCTCGACTCGCACTTTTTCGAGGAAGTGGGTCATAAAAGCATACTCAGCATTCTTATAATTATAAGATGCTATGCATAAATACATACATACATACATACATATACCATGCATAGCAATATAGCTAGGGAGACCGCGCCCCGGGAGCAAATTCCATTAGAAGTCGAGCCTGAGTCCAACACGCACTTAGTGCCATTTCCTTTGCAAGTTTATTCGATTAACTACAATCAGAGCGACAAGGGGGCAGGGAGTTTGCTGAAACCCAGAGTTTAAGATGGGCAAGCCTCCCTGTGGGCCAAGGGGAGCGCATGTAATTGGAAATTATGGCCTTTAATGAAAGCATATATTTAAGATTCTATTGCCGCATGGCTCTTAGCACCTTTGGCCAAAAAAAACATGAGGGAAGCATGGGCGTCATATGAGTAAGCCGAAGTGCAACCACATGCAATTAACGCTCTAGGCGAGACAAACGTTGACGATGGTAACTTAATTCAATTTGTCAAGTAACCCAAAAGTTTCTCTTTAAGTATAGCTCAAGCCTCACGGCTTCATTAGAGATACCTTAAAACAGTTCACTTTACATAAGAATCAATCACAATATTAGCCTGGGGTGTTGACAAAATTAAGGTGTCTAAATATGCATTTTATAGTTAGTGGTTTATGGCTAAGATTTGAACCATTTATGGCTTAAGCAGCTGGAGGCAGATCTAGTTGAACCTCTTTGGCGGCTTACTCTTAATATATTGCTATCTGCTATATGTGTATCTCATTCTTAATTAAGTCAAACATGAGTCAGCCTGTGAATTTTTTTGTTTATTTCCACAGAGCGTTTCTATTTAGATAAGTCGTATATAAGCAACACACAAATACAGGGTGTTACGCTTATAACAGAAGTAGATATGATATATACAGTCGAGTCTCGATAATTTGTACCCTGCTAAATCAAAAATCGTGATAAATCGAATAAATTGCATATGCTTAAAAAAGTACTTCTCGATCATTTTCGATAATTTTATTAATATTTATATCGGGTCTCGACTGTATTATAAAGCCAATTATTAATATGGGGTGCAGTTTACAAATTCTATTTAAAATTTGCATAAACATTCTCATTATTATATATAATTTCTAGCTTTTTTTTTTCTTTTATGCCTTACATATATATAAACTTAAAAAATTAAAAACTTAAATTCATTTTAAGTTTTAAGTATGGGCTTTTTGCCCATATTTTCTTTTACACCCTGGACACCCTGTTTCTCTTTAGATTAATTCTCTTACGCTAGCGACCCGCGTTTATTGTGTAGGCGTACGTTGTCAAACCAGTAGCGACTTTTTACAGATACTATAATTTTTTGTTTGCTGCAGCTTTTCGTATTTAGTTTGTTTTTCATTTT